TTGCTGTCCAATGAGATCCTTTAAAGCTCACAAAAAGACAGTAGGGTTGACATCTTCTGGGGCGAAATCGTCAGTGATATACCCAGATACGTTAACTTACTGAGAAATGAGATGTAGAGAAGAATTAGTGATATCGGAGAGGTTGGTGGGAGAATAAAGAGACTCAGATTTATTAAGGTGAACAACAAGTGTGTGTGTTGCTTATTTATTTTACCTTTGAAGTTTAATATAATTTTCTCCTAAAAGTCTTTGAGTACTGATGTATGAAAAACCCAGATTATTTAATGCTGTTTCTTTACTCATCAGGCAAAGTATGGTTAAAAAACAAAACAGTGGGGACTTGATAATGGGGGGAATCTAGTAACCACAATGTTGCTTATATAGTTGTATATTAATGATACCAAAATTAAAAAAAACAGAACAAAACCGTGTAGGTGCCTAATTCTAGGAAGATACCTCCATGGAAAGAACACTCTAATAAATGGCCAGGATTCTTTTAAACTATGAATTATAGAATCTTCCTCATCATCCTGGTTCAGTCAGACAATGAGTACCACCCAGAGTGCATGAAGTCCTCTTTCTGTTGGAATAACAAGTTGTCTCCTTATCTGATCACACAGAATACCGGAAGGAGTCTCTCTTCCCTTCTCCCCAGCCTTCCGCCTCCTCAGAGTGAGTTGCTCTCGTGAATGTGTCTCCTTGAGTGTGTGAACCCTAAGTACCCAATTTTAAGGGTCCATTCTAGTTGTAGGTTTAAAACATTTTCCCCCAGTGCAATGGGAACTCGGTGTCATTCTGTGCTTGGGCTCTCCGTAAAGCTGAGGATGAAATGATCAGGATTCTTTTGAAAAGTCAGTTCTGGAAACTCAGTCATAACCTGGCAAACTAATGTAAGAATTCTACCAAAGGCTTCCAACTTCGATGCTACCCACATTGATGGAGATGCTCAACCTTAGATTACCTGTTCTGTTGGAGCTGAGTGTTTTGTCCCCACCCCCACCCCCACTGTGGATAACTCAGATGGAATGTGATTCTGGCAGTGCCCCTGTAGGGTGAGGGCAAGATTATTTGGAAGAGGACAAGGCAGGGCTGATAAACAGCATTACCTTCAGGTACATGATGCTGATGGCTCATGGTGAGGGCCCATCCTCATGGGCTGAGGTCACGTTCAGAGTGGTTGGTACCCAGGCAGTACTGGCTACTTTGTTAAATATTTTGACTATCACCCACATTCCCCACCTGAATGCATGGCATATCAGAATTATTGTTAATTGTTACATTTCTTTCTGAATTTATCTACACCTGACCTCAAGAATCAGGTCTAATGAGATTTTTTTCTAATGAGGTTTTGCATGTTTCATTTTAAAAGCTAGTTATATAATGTACATCCTAACCATTTCTTTTCACATCACCAAATGTGTTTTGGAAACACCTATTCAGACACCTCTGTTCTTTTAAAAGAAATCTACTCAACATTTCATTAATTAAAGTTAATTTTACATTTTCCCTTCATTGATATTCTCTAGACTTCTAGACTGTTCTGTACTCCTTGGAATCTTGATATCTCTTTTTATTTCTCTTGCCAGAAAAGAGTGGAGGGCTTTGATCTGTGTTAATTGAGCTTAGGATCCTCCAACTCAAGATGTAATCTGAAAAGAAGGGAAAGAGCAGAGTCTAGTGATTAACCCAGTTAGGATTATTGTTCATCCTAAGTGGGTTCTAGAAATGTAAACTCCTTTTTTTTAAAATGAATGGCAATAATGACAATAGCACCTCCCATTTGTTGCACCTGATTCACCTAGAGCACTATGTGATGCTTTACATACAGTGGCATGCGTGAGCAATATGATGAATTTATCTTTATGTACATTTGGGTTGATTTTTACACTGTGTGTTCCAATTACATGAGAAATTCAACCAGATATATACTGCTGGCTGAGCCAGTCCCTCTTCTATTTAATGACCTGTGAAGCTCTGCTCTGTTTATTACCCCTGAGCCAGACCTTTCTTTTCATTGAGCCCTGCCTGGTGGAAGATCGAATGATGGAAGAGGCATTTATAAAGAATCTGTGTTGACCTGCTGCAAAATTTCTATCAAATGGTTGCTCCAGCCATTCTGGAATAAGAATTGGATATGTTATCACATAGTGACCTCGGGAATGCCCTCCTGGTCCAAGGCTCTGAGCACCGGAGCCATGTGGGTGTCCAGTGAGCAAGCAGAGAGGACCACCTGGGCTGGAGTGTCAGGGCCAGGCCACGCGGAGCAGGCACTCATGGGCCTGACTTGGCCTTGGTTTGGATCCACAGGGCCTAGGAAGTAGGGAGAGAGCCCCAGGCCCTGAGGTAAGGGATGGGCAGCCGCGGTACCCCAAGCCCATGCCTCAGGTTCTATTTGTGCTCATTCCTACATTCTCATCTGGACTTCTGGAAATGTGACAGACAAGGAGGGCATAACTTTTTGTGGGGTGGATGAGGCAGAGGTATGAGAACAGAGGGGAGAAAAGCACAGCTAACAAGATAAGGTGCAGACACCCAAGTTGGGTGTAGAGTGGGAGAAGAAACTAGCCTATTATGGTGGCGGTGGTGTTGGTGGTGATGGTGGTGGTGATGGTGTTGGTGGTGATGGTGGTGGTTGTGGTGTGTGTGTGTGTGTGTGTGTGTGTGTGTGTGTGTGTGTGTGTGTGTGTGTGCTGGGGAGGGGAGGTAGTTGAGATAAAATTGTAATTATGAGTGAGGAGCCTGCATCTTCTGGGACCCCTACCCCCCAACGGGGCCGAGGAACCAGCAGTGGTGTTCAGGTCATGTACCCTCAAGGGGCCCCTATATGCACCTTGCTTGCATCTTTTATTGATCATGTCTATTATGAAATCCACCATAATATGTAAAACTCCCAGGGCAGGGATTCTGTACTGCCCTATCCTTCCAGAGACAAGATAAGGAAGCTGTGGGATCCTGCCTGCTCTTCCCCTGTGTGCTCACCTAAGAGATGTACGCAAGAATGTGTCCTCTCAAGGCCAGGAACCTGGGGGCTTCCTTGGAGCAGTGTCCTAGAATAATGCCTGGTTCTTAGCAAGGGCTTGATAAATATTGTTTACCAAATCAATGGATTTACAAGATGAGAATTCAGTAGTACTCCAGACTGTGTTTCATTTTCAACCTTATCTTGTTAGCTGTGCTTTTCTCCCCTCTGTTCTCATACCTCTGCCTCATCCACCCCACAAAAAGTTATGCCCTGCTTGTCTGTCACATTTCCAGAAGTCTAGATGAGAATGTGGGAATGAGCACAAATAGAACCTGAGGCCTGGGCTTGGGGGGAACCGCAGCTGCCCATCCCTTCCCTCAGGGCCATCTGGACAATCTCAGCATCACCCTCTGGGGTATGACCAAAACAGAAAGTATCAAATATTCATATCCTGAATAAATCTGTATTTTTTATTCTGCCCTTTGCTGTACATGGTAGTTACAAATTAGTTTCCCCTTTCCCCATTAGCTTATTTTTATAAATTGAGATATGATGACATATTAGTTTTAGATGTACAACATATTGATTCACTATTTATGAATAACCTCAATGAGCCTAGTTAACAGCCATCACCACACAGTTACAGTTTTTTTCTTGTGATGAGATCCTTTAAAATCTGCTCTCTTAGCAACCTTCAAGCATAATAGGGAACTGCGGTCACCACATTGTACATCATACCTGACATGTATTTTATAACCACAAATTTATATCTTTTGACCCCCTTTATCCATTTCACCCAGCCCGGATCTCCTGCCTCTGGCAGCCACCAATCTGTTCTCTGTGTCTATGGTTCTTGAATTCTGTAATTCTTTAGTTACTGTTGCTTCCAAGGAGAATAATGGGAGTCCCCATGGGGGTCCCTACTTTCTTGACCTGGGTGGTAATGACTCAGCCCAGAATTCTCTGCTCCCTGGGTAAGAAGCACTAGCTTAGGCTAACCTGTGACATCCCGGCAGCCTCCTCCGTCACCTGGCATCCCCAGGGGTTGCTGTTAGGATTTCGCTCCCCACCATGTCCCTCCTGCCCCTGGCTCTCCCCACTGCATTTTGCCTCCCTTACACTCCTGTCTCCTGCCTGCGACGTTATTCCTCTTAGCCTCTGGGAGCAGGCTTCCCATAGGCTCAAGTAGATCGTTAGCAAATCAATGAAACTTCCCTCCCAAGTTGCCTCTACGTCTCCTTTCCCTCTCAGGCTGCGTCCCTAGATTGTATCGGCTTGAAAAGATGGGAAAGGTACTTACTAGCTATTCTCCAGGGCTGCTACTCGGAGATGTGCCAGGACAAGTTTTAGAAAAAATAATTTCAGTGCTTGTGATATCTTACACACACATTTGTTAAGTGTCCCTAAGAAACTACAACCTCAGAAATTAAAGCACAGCACTGTTTTTACCTCAGACCCTACAATGTTCAGCTCTGTATGGGGGGAGTGTGGTTCCCGGAGCTGCTGTAACAAATCATGACAAGCTTAGTGGCTTAAAACACCAGAAATTCATTACCTGTGGAGATCAGAAGTCCAGCATGAGGTCCAACCAGGGTGTGGGCAGCAGCCCCTCCCTCTGGAGGCTCTAGGGAAGAATCCATCTCCTTGCCTCTTCCAGCTGCAGGCTGCCCGCCTTCCTCCATCTTCCAAGTCATCACTGTGGCATCTCCCAGTCTCTCTCCCCAGCCCTGCTTCTCTCCTTACATTTCCTGTACTGACTCTGACCCTCCTCACTCCCTCTTTAAATGCAGTGACCTCTCTGACTGCATTAGGGCCACCTGTATTATCCAGGATAACCTCCCATTTCAGCATCCTTAAAAGGACCATCTGCAAAGTCCCTTTTGCCAGGTATGGGTTCCAGGGATTAGGATGTGGGCCTCTTGCAGAGGGAGGGGCGTTTATTCAGCCTACACAGCAGGGAAGCCACCCTGTCACTCAGAGACTTCTCTAAAAGCATGACCATCAAAGTAGATTTTCTAATTTCTTGTTTTATTTTCAGATGCAGAGAGAAATTGTTTATTCAAGAGGAGACGGCCCTGGTGCCTCTCGACCTGGATCCACAGCCCATCCACCTCATGCCATCCCAAATTCTCCACCATCCACTCCTGTGCCCCATTCCATGCCTCCTTCCCCATCCAGAATCCCTTATGGGGGCACCCGCCCCATGGTTGTTCCTGGCAATGCCACCATCCCCAGGGACAGACTCTCGAGCCTGCCAGTGTCAAGATCCATCTCACCCAGCCCCAGCGCTATTTTGGAAAGGAGAGATGTCAAGCCGGATGAAGACATGAGTGGCAAGAACATTGCAATGTACCGCAATGAAGGCTTCTATGGGGACCCATACCTTTATCATGAGGGACGGATGAGCATAGCCTCATCCCATGGCGGGCACCCACTGGATGTCCCTGATCACATCATTGCTTATCACCGCACAGCAATTCGGTCTGCGAGCACTTACTGCAACCCTTCTTTGCAAGCTGAAATGCATATGGAGCAGTCACTGTATAGACAGAAATCAAGGAAATATCCAGAGAGCCACTTGCCTACTCTGGGCTCCAAAACACCCCCCGCTTCTCCCCACAGAGTCAGTGACCTACGGATGGTAGACATGCACGCCCACCATAATGCCCACGGGCCTCCTCACACCATGCAGCCAGACCGGGCCTCACCCAGCCGCCAGGCCTTCAAAAAGGAGCCAGGCACCTTGGTGTTTATTGAAAAGCCTCGGACCACTCCAGGATTATCCAGCATTGTGGACCTCGGCCCTCCTCTTGTTGAGAAGCAAGTGTTTGCATACAGCACTGCTACCATACCCAAAGACAGAGAGACCAGGTAAGGGAGGAGGGAGGCGGAGGGGGATCTGTGCCTGGGTGGTGTTGAGGGCTGCTCCACACACGTCAGCCTAAGAGAATGGAGAACCAAGCAGCCTTGAGCAGCGTGCCCTCTGGGTGCTGCAGGGGCAGACAGCAAGACCAGAGGCCACCTTGTCTGCAAAGAGTTTCTAAGTCAATGGGGGTCAAGTGAGGCAGGCCAAAGGCCAGGCTAAAGGAAGGCAGGGACACCAACAGGAGGGTCTGTGTGGACCTCCGTAGCTGGTTCTAACTGTCATCACGAGTATAAAGAAGTCAGAGGAGAATTGTGATTAGCAGAAACCGTTCAGACAAATAGATGAAGAGCTCATGATAATTGATCTGCCGCTGAAATTAAGGAATGAGTGGCTCAGGTTTTCACTGTTTGAAACAGCAGTTTGCATTTTTCCTTGAGGAGTGTCATTTTGTTTGTCTCATCTGGTTTGGAGAAATGGAAAGAATGAGTCACTGTCTTCTAGGGTGATCAAAGGTGAATTCGCATAAAAATAGGATGGTTTAGATTTAATACTCATCCAGGAGTGGTACTGAGATCATCAAAATTGTTCTAGTGTAAGAGATACTCTGGCTATTTAAACTTCTTTCCTAATATACATGTTTTCATAATTGACCAGCCCAGAACCTTCCTACTACATTTTACAAGCCCTCCAAAGTTCACATAGTAATAGAAAAGCTAAACTTGATTTACCTTTGGGAATTTCTTCAGCTTGAACTGGTTGGAGGAAGCCAACATAATGATTACAATCTCAAAAACCTGGTCAAAGAAATGAGTCCAAAAGGAGTTAAGCATTTTACCTATTGTCACACGGGGATTCAGAAGGAGGATGAAAAATAAGATCCAGGTAACCAGTTACTGAGCACCTTCTTAGAGCTGCTGTTCCCTACTCCTCACCAGAAACAGTAATGTCACTTACATTACATAACCTTATAAAAAGTAGGCCAAAATGGTGACTGGCATGTGAATTGGCCATCTTAACTATTTGCAAACAAATCAAAAAGCCCTGTCCTCTTTGGCAGAATTTTATCACAGAAGGGCCGTCTCTCCTTATCTGCTCAGTCACAGCAGAAATATTCCAGGAAGATAGGTAGGTAATGAGCATGGGAGTTTGGAGATCACTAATGCAGCAATAGATAATAGCTCTCTCCCACAGCTAGAAACAAAGCAGCAGTGATTGGCTTGGTTAAATAGGACTAAAACAAATTAAGGATTGAAAAATAGTATTCTCTCTCCTCCCCAAAGGCCATAGGAAGTGTAATTCTAAGCATCAGAAAAAAGGGATGCTTCTTATGACTGTGGAAAGCTGAGAGGTGAGGGAAAAATACTGAGGCTCATGGGTCAGACCAATGTCACAATCAGAAGGAAATGTACCAAGACAGGCCTTAAGGCCCTCAAGCTTGTGCCGTATGCTTAGAAGAAATGGTCAAACGTCTGTCACAGTGGGCCATGAAGGACTGTCTTGGAAATGCGTGCCACCAGACAATGGGACTTGAAGTCAAAAGAATTGAGTCCAGGAAACAATACAAATTAGCCATCTCCAGGGTATAGTGTTGGGGGCCAGACTCCATCCCCCCACCTTTTCCACGCATCCCTCATGCTGACCTGCCCTGTGAGTAGAAGATTAAGACCTTGATTCTGCAGTGTTTCTTGTTTAGCCATTTCCCCCTTGCTGGGTTCCCAGCACATTTTAGCCAGTGATTGTGTCTGGCTTCTTCCCCAGAACTGAGTGCAGTGTCATGCATGTGGTTATCACATATATATACAACTGAATCAAAAGCATCAATAAACCTAGTTTTCACAGGACTTGCTTCTGGGAGAGATCGGCACAGATCCTTTGCTGATACGTGGAGTCATCTCTCTACTGAGCCTGATCAAAGTCTTGAAGGATTTTAGATTTAAGTAGCATTGGTATTCTTTCATGACCTTTTAGATTTAAGTAGCATTGGTATTCTTTCATGACCTTTGCTTCCTCTTTAAAAAGGATTTGCCGACCTCAGAGAGTTCCATGTCACCAAAGCTCAGAAAATGCTATGGATTTCTGTTTTACATGTTAGAAGCCCTTTACAGAAAATCCAAATAATCTTATTTCTAGAATAACATGTATTAGAAAAATTAGTCAAAAAAGTAATGTTTGCTTAAAATACACTGCCATTATCACTAGCTTATTCTGAAATATGCTTGTAATTTGGAATATGATTTTCACATTTTTCATTCCCCAAAATGTGAAATAGCAGAGGAAGAATTTTATCTCACACATCTTGCCTAGGTGATTCCTCACCTGTAATCAGCTTGTCTCCAGAGGGTGGGATTGGAGTGCTGGTATGCATGGGCCGGCCATGCTCCCTTCTCCTGCCGGCCATGCTCCCTTCTCCTGTCCTACACACACACACACACACACCCCTCTTTCCACTGAAAGATTTAAACAGCCCCACGAACTCAATCCCAGGCACATGCTCCCTTCTCCTGCAGCCCTACACACACACACACACACACCCCTCTTTCCACTGAAAGATTTAAACAGCCCCACGAACTCAACCCAGGCACATAACACAAGTGTGTTTAGAATGATCAGATGATTCTCCAGCAGAAAGAAACTGAGTCTGGAAATGCAAAGTAAGGACTGCTGTCTTTCCTCCTCTTCAGCTACAGTTCTGAACTCTTTGGAGAGCTTGATGACTAGGCTGTAATGCATAGAAGCCTAGTAATGCATAGAAGCAGCCTAGAAGAATGCTGATGGTAGCTGTCATTTATTGAGAGCCTTTTATGGGCCAACCGCTATGTTAAGTAGTTTCCATACATCATATGATGTAATCAACATGACAATGCAGGGAGGTATGTACAAGCCTCAGCCCTAGTTCACAGATGTGGAACTAAGGCTCCCAGAGGTTAAGTACTTGTGTGAGCTCACAAAGCCAGTAAGTGGCATAGAAGGTACAGACCCATTAAAGAATCCATACTCTTTACCACTGTGCAATATTCTACCTGAGGTGTGAGAACTGTGACCCACACCTTCACTCAGCAGAGGGTAAATTCAGTCGTGAATTCTGAGCATTTCAACCAGAATTCTCCAGAAGTGGTTTCAGCATGAGATGCTAAGTAACTGCTCCTAAAGGATATTTACAGTCATAAACATGGCAGAATTTGCATAATTATGCTGCTAAATATATGCATGCCATTTAAAATATAACTGCCCTAACTAGTATATTAGGACAATTATGCAGAAATAAGGAAAAAAAGAAGAGAACATTCTTGGTAAATTTTATTTCCAAAAAATGAATGTGAACACTGTCAGAGAAAACTTTAAAAACAAGAATACCAAAAACAATTATTGAAGCACAAAATTATAGCCCATTGTTTCACCTATACCATAATGTTAGTTTATACATATTTAACTGTGAAAGCATATTTAAAGACTCTTCAAATCCTCAAAGTCTCACTTCATGAGTACAGGGTGCTGTAGTGCCAAACCAATTTCTGCTGCAATTTCATAATATTAAAAAGCAAATAAATCTGAGGGTGCTTTTTATATGGTATTCTCAAGTGGAATCTTCCACCTAAGATGCAAGGCTACAATAACACAGGAGGGAGACTGAGGAATCTGTAGTAGTGCTTTGTTTTGGACACTGCTGGACTCAGATGCTGTTCAGAAGAGTATTTCTCTGAAATAGCCTAAATAATGGCAGGATGTTCCAAATCAGAAAGGAAAAGTCTTTCTTTCACATCTGTACTCAGGAAGCCTTCAATGACAGCCTTTTTTTTTTCTTTTTGAGGGAACATGATTTATAACAGCTCTATTGACTCAAAAATGAAGAATTAAAGATGAAGTAATTTCATCTTGATTCTTGTGTTTAGTCATGTGCCTAGATCTAAAGAATTTGGCCTTTGTGATCGCGTAAAGATGCTTATGATAAATTATATATCAAAATCTATAGAAAAAATAGTATATACAGTAGAGCATCGGTGTTGGTAGGCTTCTCCTTCGGGGTATCAAGTGGATCCTAACAGCTCTGACTTTGAGGACAGCAATGTTCACGTCTGAGCTTCTAGAAAGAAAATGATACCAAGTGATGTGGCTTTCCCAGACAACATCCCTTCAGCTGGGATTCTATGAAGAGGGAGGGTCCGTGGCTATGAGGAAGTGCTGAGGGAGATGGTGTGTGACAGATGATTTAGCACGGAGGGCTCTGTCTGCCCTAGGTTATCAAATTACTTCATTAAACAGCATCATTATTTCTATTCATGGCACATAAAACAGCCCTTAAAAATTGTAAAAATCGAGGACATTTATGTTTTGCTATTTCCTATTTATAGTTTGGCTCATATAAAGTAAAATATCTTTATTGAAATAACACTTGAATTCAAGGGTGCATATTGCAAGGTGACTAATAGCCCCCCTTCTAACTGTACAACAGATTCCTCCTAATGGAATATTTTTCAAGACATGGTAAACTTGAACTGAGATCATATTTTTACAATGTTCTGCACCCACAGTAGCTAAATTCAACAAACTATGCAAGTATCCACTGGGAGACAAATTCTTGCCCTGTCTGGGCCCTGTATCTGGAGAAAGAAGCCACGTGAGATCCCTCTGTAATTTCAAAGGCATCACAGGCTTAGAGAAGCAGAATTCCTTGCCTTGGGCCAATTAGAAAGAGAGAGAAAAGTTCTGTGTACAGTAGGAAGGCTGCATGCTAACTGGCAGCTATGTCTGTTCTTAATCTTTATGCATTTTATGAGGATTGAATGTCACTCTGTCAGTAGCTTGGGGAGGCCGATGGGGTGCATCTTCGGTTTCACACTTGATTGAGTGAAACTCTAAATTCCAATTTATGTCATTTAAAAGTATTCACAGTGACTGGCAGACCTTTGAAGGTTTTCTAAACTGTGCTTTATCCTGCTAGAGAGGTGAGTCTGAATGACTGAAAAAGAATGATTAATTTTTTCCTTTTCCTGAGTGTTTAGTGAAA